GGGTATGGAAGGTCTCAAGATTGGATACATTGACTTAGATTGGCTTAGACATTGTTCCAAATACGTATGTGTTTAATATTTTTGAAGTTTTCATATTGAAGCCTCCAAATGAAGATCAAGTGATTTTTTGGGCTCTCAGGATTGGCTGCACGAGTTTACATTGTAATTGATGAGAGCATGTAAATAGTAACTAAAAACCATGGTCAGCAAAATTTTTAACATAGTTGTTTCAATTTACTAGTTTATTGTTATTTGATCCTATCAGGACAATGCCATTTTTCAATTAATTTCTATGCACATTACTGAGTTACAATCAAACCTTAATTAAACAACTTTACTATCCATGTTTGTCAATAAAATTAACAATATAATGTATGTTGTGATTTGAATTTTTATGTTATCTATGTTTTAATTCCTTTATTTCAAAAGAAATGATTAAAAAAATGCTTAAACTGCAGTTTTTGTGTCACAGGATCCACTCGCTGTGAGTGTAAATGCACAAGTTTGACATGTATATGACATTGTAGTTCTACATCCCATTTTGACACCTAAGATACAAAGTCTTAAAACTATATTCACTGGGAAAGAGAAATAAATTTTCCAACCCTTGATGGGTGCCATGTCCACTTTGTATACTTTACTGTGAGATTTACAACATACATGTAGTTAGTTGACACAAGTGTATATAGCTGTTAGAAAGAACTCAGTTTACACTATACTCCACCAATGGTTTGTTGTTGGTATTGTTGTCTGCTTGATTGACTGTAGCACTTATGGTGATTTCTTATCTAAATATGCTATAGTTAGATAGACAGTTAAACTGTATTGAGGTTTTACTTTTATACTTTGTATTATTTGTGTTTTAAAACTCATATTTGAATGTTTTAATGATTTTTATATGTTTAACTTGTGACTTGGATTATGAAAGCTTTATAAACAATATGGCAGAGTCTGCTGAAATAACTTCATAAAGGCCTGCGAGCATCGGTTGACATATTGGCACGAATAAAAACAAAGAATTTGAAAAGAAAACTTAAACTATAAATGAAAAGAAAAAGATGGGAAATTAAGCATACATGAAAGATGACTATTCTAGTGAATTTCTATGAAGAGCTGAAAGGTATATACATATTTCTGTTTGTTAATTTTAAACATTTCATTGCACTGTATGTTGATGATAATAGATTATTGATATAGTAGAGAA